TTAAGAGCATACCAAACCCAAACCAAACTCACTGTCATCAAGTCAATTCTGACTCAGGTCAGAAGGATCCACATTGAGGCAGAGACACGCACTTGCTCAGTGGCCTTGGTCTATTACTTACCTCTCATAGCCTCAACCCTTTAAAATGGGGATGATAATATCCATTTCTAGTGTTAGGGCTGTTGTGAAAACCTAGCAAGATAATGCATGTGCAGTGTTGAGCACACAGGAACCGTCATTACTTCAAGCTTCTCTGCCTCTCCCTGAGAGTTTAGATTTGGTTCAGATTTTGTTATCCTGGTTGATTATGTAGACCAGTAGTTCCTGAACTTGGCCGATGTCAGAATGACCTGCCTAAAGAACAAATGCTCAGACCCCACCCCAGGAGATTTTGATTAAGGACTAGGATAGGGCCTGAACCTTTTCATTTTTAACAACTTTCCAGGTAATTCTAATGCACAACCAGGTTTGTGGGAACTAATTTACCAGTGTAGACATCTAAGCCACAGTGGAGAAAGGATGCAGGTTGTTCTTCTCCAACTCCCCTTTCTTGTCAATATCAGCACTCATTTCCCTAGTCCCTTCTCTTGGCTCCCCTAGTCAAGGACTCTACCCGTGACCTAGCAGTAAGTCAGTGGCACTTAGAATTCCATGGAACCTGTCTCTCTGGAAGCCTGGGAACCCAAAACAGGGCTGGAAGCAGGATGCCAGAGTTTCTGTCGGATTTGGCCCCTCCTGACTCACTGATGGCCCATAGCCAGTCAGTCTCTGCTAAAAGGGCAGGGAGGCACCATCTTCTGACCTCCTCTAACCGCACAAAAGGAAGACAGAATCACCATCAGTAGCTCAAGGACTATTCCTGCAAGGCCAGACATGCTGCCTCCCTCCAGCCCTTTCACCAACTGTTCTTCCCAAAGCACCCACCTCTTCTCTCCTGGGTTTGATAATTCACTGCAGTGGCCACACCGAACTCACAGACTATGGGGTTTATTAGGGAAGAACTAGATTACAATTTAAGTTTAGGAAAAATGCTCAGTCTCTCTCTGCCCACTGTCTTTCACCCAACAGTCTCTCTCCCAGCAGTGCATGTCTCTTGCGTCTCTTTCCCAGCAGCACGTGTCTCTCAGGAGCACATTCCTTCTCAGCAGTACATCCTTCTCACCCAGTAGTCAGAGAGATATCTGCCTCTAGGAGGCCTCCTTTTGAGCCTGGCAGAGTGTCCAAACTAGCCAATCATAACATCAGAATACTAAGCACCTGAGAGAGAGCGAACCTCCCAGAACACTGCTTTGTGCTACGCCCAACAGAAATACCCCAGGTGGATAACATTTACAATCAGGAGCTCCTCAGTTGCTCACAGCAAATTCCACAACGGAATTTACAAAGACTTATGGTTAGAAAAGCCATACCAGGTAATTTAGCACACCGCAGTCTCCAAGCCTCAGTTTGCTTATGGTCAGTGGACAGTCAAGGAAAGCAGAGCTGCCCATTTGTTCCCACATCTTGTTGCCACAGAGTCTTGGCACTATTTGCACAGTGTGGAATGCTTTTGCCATGGATCTTCACAAGGCTGCTTCTTCCTTGTCATTCAGGCCCCACAGCTTACATGTCACCTGTGCAGAGAGTCCCTTGCTAATCAATCACCAAATCTAAAGTGTCATCCCAGGCAGTGGGACACATCATCCTGTAGTTCATCATGTATTTTCATTTTTATCTCAGCATTTATCACTATAGGTCTCTGGGTGGCGCAAATGGTTGACCACTAACCTAAAGGTTGGTGGTTAGAACTCCACCTAGCAGTGCTGTGGAAGGGATTGACTCAACTCAAATCCTCCTTCCAGCCTAAACGAGGTGAGTTATGATTCCCCTGGACAGATGGAGGGACTGAGCCTCAGTAGAGCTGATGATGTTACTGTCTGGATAATGGATAAGGGTTATTTATCACTATAAAAGCCAATACCAAACCCATTGCCATAGGATATGATTTTTCCTTATTTGTTTACTTAATGTTTTGCCTATCTCCCTGCTATAAAATGTAGCTCCATTGAAGCAGCTCTTTGACCATCTTGCTTACTGCTGTGTCCCCAGTGCCTAAAATAAGTTCAGTGAAGATTTGTGGAATAAGTGAATTAATGAAGTTTACTTAGCAAGAATTGTGATTTTTTTTTTTTTTTGGTCAGAGTATATTCGAGATTCTGAAGAGAAATGACTGCCTCAAATCGCCAATTCAAGCCTTTTGGTCTTCTTCTACCAGGCCCTTCCCATAAAACCTGGCTGACACACAAACCTGGCTGGGGTGAGGCTCCTAGGTGTGATGAAAGTTCGGAGTTGCCCCACGAATGGGACTGAGGTTGATGTGGGGGTGAGAAGGCGGAAGGATAGTGCATTTGAAGAGGAAGGCAGGCTGGAACAGGAGAGCAGGGTGTGAACCTGGTGGGGAGGGTGATTTGGCTGTGTGTCAGGAAGAGTTTCTCTCCACCCTTCCCTGGGGGCTGTGGGGGTGCTGACCCCAAGGTGGCTTCTTTTGGGGAAGCAGGTAGTCAAGCAGCTGCTGAAGAAAGACAAAGGTGTGGCCTGGGCAGTGACCATCTGCTGAGGTCCTATGCCAGATACTGAACACCCAAAGGATTAATCCCACGGTGGCATGTGGCCAAATAGGTGACAGTTGAGCTTCCGCCTGAAACCAGCACAACCACAACACAGAGCCCCAGACTCACCCTAGGGGTGAGCAAGGGGCCTGGAGAAGGGTGAGAAAAGGGACTTCAACCTGGATTTGGGACTTCTAAGGAAATGGTCAGGATAGAATACTTGGTGATAATAATAATAGGTCATGGTTATTGAGAATTTATAATACGCTGGCACTATACCAACTATATGTGCTCACCTGTTCAATCCTCAAAGTGTTCTACCAAGTAGGCATTATTATTACTAGTCCCATTTGTTGTTGTTGTTGTTATGTTCCCCCAAGTCAGCCCCAACTCATAGCAACCCCTCCTTGAGTGAGGCAGTATCACTACAGAAGTAGATTGCCCAACCTTCTTTTCAAGGAGTAGCTGGTGGGTTTGAACCCCCAGCCTTCTGGTTAGCAGTCAAATGCCTTAGGTACTACATTACCAGAAACTGAGGCTCAGTGAGATTAACTATCTTTTCCAAGGCTACACAGTAAATGGCAAAACCAGGGTTCAAACTCTACTTTGTAGTGATTTTTATGTAAACCTAGGGCTGGGGAAGATTGTTGGGGCAAGTTAGGAGGGCAGAGTCAGACTGACCCCTGCAAAAGTGGGAGGAAGGGCTGTGGGATACGGTGCATGAATATCAGACCTGTTTTTATGCCAAATCTAGCAAGTGGCTCTATCTGGCACAACTAGAGGACTTTGAATGCCAATCCAGCCCTGTGTCAAACAACTCCCTCCCCTGTACAGCACCCATGGAATGAGTTCTGGTGGTCAGTGGTTCAAACCCACCAGACACTCTGTGGAAGGAAGATGAGGCAGTCAGCCTTCGTAAAGATTTACAGACTTGGAAACCCAATGGGGATTGCTGTGAGTCGGAACCAACTTGATGGCAGTTGAGTTTTGAGTGAGTACACACCTGGAGGCTAAAATTCTTCACTGAGAGAGTATTTTCTTTGGGTCATGATATTGATTCCAGAAGACCCCTGTGAAAATACATGGGGTGGAAGAGAAACACATTAGTCTGCTGGCACCTGTTGGGTCCTAGAGGAGAGGGGCTCAGTTTTAATCTTGGGGAAGAAGGTGATATTCAAGGGCAAGGAAAAGTCTGAGGTTTGTTCCACAATCTGTGTCTCTGTAATCCCAGAAAGTTGGAAATTATAATCTATGGTTAAAAAATCCTAATGGAGACTGTCCCCTGGGGGAAGGTGAGGGGAAGCCACTGCAGTGGCTGGAAGAATACCAACTTCCTTTGCTTTTGCTGGAAATAATACCAAGTGCCAGCAACGGCAACTCTGTGGCTACTGCAGGCTCAGACCTGCTGGCACTCGTGTGTCTAATTTCTAAATGATAAATTATTATTTACTATTCACTATTTTGAGGAGTCCTGGTGGTTAAGGCATTTGGCTGCTAACCAAAAGTCAGTGGTTAAAACCCACTAGCCGCTTCACGGAATGAGGAAGAGGCAGTCTGCTTCAGTAAAGATTTACAGCCTTGGAAACCCAATAGGGGTCGCTATGAGTTAGAATCGACTTGAAGGCAGTGAGTTTGGTATTTGATTCGCGATTTATTATTTACTATTCAGGTAAAAAGTGGGCTTCTGAAACTCAGGGTGACACAAGTAGAGACCCCTGGTTTGGAGGAGGGACAATCCGATGGACTAGGCTCGGAAAAGGGAAGGAACGAGGCGGGGGCGTGGAGGCGGGGTGGGGTGGCCAAGGGCAGCGCTCAACTGGGCAATCTCAAGGCTGTATAGCGCGACTGGCATTTGGGAAAGGTAGAAACTGGTCCCGGCCACCTGCCGGTCAGCGGCCCTGCCCACTGTCAGGCCGCGGCTGCCCTGGCTTGGGACCAAAATATGTGAGCGCCACCCCCTTCACTGCCCCCTTTTCCCCCGCCGCGCCCGCAGGGTCGGGGGCTGCGCGGCCGGCGCCGGGAGCCGGGCGGGCGTCCCAGCACAGAGTTGGAAGGAGGAGGGGGAGCGGGGGCGGCGCTGGGTGGGGCGGAGCTTCGGCGCCTCCAGAGCCTTATTCCTGGCCGCGCGCGGTGGAGCGCTCAGTCAGCCCAGGGAGCTGCGCGCGGCACGGACCTTGTCACCCTGACAGAGACGCAGGGATTCCAGTGAACCGACGAACAGAGTAAGCAGACAGAGGCACAGCGGCCGCGAGCACAGCACAGGTTAGAGCCAGGCTTGCACCGAGAGGCCCGCAGCAGACAGTGCCGAGCCGAATCTCCTGCGTTCCATCCGCCCCGCTCCCTTGCCAGCACCCGGTTGCCGCCGCCTCCAAAGTGATTGCTGCCACACCGTCCTTCTCCAGGCTCGGGAACATGAAGCTGCTGCCGTCGGTGGTGCTGAAGCTCCTTTTGGCTACAGGTAAGAGGGCTGCCAACGCCCCGGGAGGTCGGGGGGATGGGGAGCGCTGTGCTGGGGAAACCGGGGAAGGTCGCTCGCTGCAGCGCCCCCGGCACGGGCCACTTGGTGGGGCCCGTGCGCCCTGGTGGGCGGGCGCGGGCCTTGGTGCGTGGAGGCCGGGTGTCCAGGCGGGGGTCTGATATGGCCTTGCCCCTCGCCCGCAGTGCTCTCGGCGTTAGTGACAGGAGAGAGCCTGGAGCGAATTCGGAGAGGGCTGACGGCCGGAACCAGCAACCTGGACCCTCCCACTGGATCCACTGACCAGCTGCTGACCCCAGGAGATGTCCGGGGCCGGGAAGTCTTGGACTTGGATGAGGCAAACCTGGACCTTTTCAGAGGTAGATGTGGGGGCCGCCCATCCTTGGACCCTGGCGGACAGTTGGATAATAAGTGGACAAGAGATCCGCGCTATTTGGGGATCCCTGTGGGTTGGGAGATATTCCTGGAGGACCTCTAGAAAGAGCCTATTGACCTGACAGGGGAACTGGAGGACCTGGGCATATGGGTCCCTCCTGCTGTCTTGCCCTTGGGTCTCACCTACTGAATTCCTGTGTATCTGGTACTTTGGGGAAAATTGATAGTGGAAAGGTGTCTGAGGTTGGTATAGTCCTCTGAGATAAACTGGGTTGTAGGAATTCAGAATGGTTGAGAATGCTTTCCTCAGAGTTCCTATGTATAAATGGGAACAAGTCCTAAGTCGCACATCAAATGATAGTTATCTGTATAATATGCTATGGAGATGCACATAGTAGGTGTGTAGTGTTAGTCTCCTTTACCCAGCTGTCTTCAGATTAGGGCAACAGAAGAGAAAGAGGAACCTTTGGCCACCCTAGGTGAGGTCAACATCTCCTGTGGGAGGATATGAATGGTCGGTCCCTAGATGGCTGTATTGAAACACTTGCTGGATGTCTACAAATCCTCCCCCAAAGTCCAGAGACATCCTGACCACTTTGAGTCCCTGATACTCCAAAGGAGGAAAGGCCAGGTGGGATCCTCCAACCAGCATAAGTGGCTGTGGCTGGGTACAGGCATAGGGGCAGAGTTCAGAGCCTCAGGCAATGCCCACTTCCCTGCTCCCAGGCACCTGCAATGATTGTCTTGAGGGTGGAACAGATACTGAGCCCAGGAGCTCTGGAATTACTTTATTTGGTTGGAAAGATACCTACCTGTTGTAGCTCCACCTGCTTCTCAGCTATCCTTCTCTCTCCTTGCTCAGAGTTTCCTTTAGGTGCTGTCTTCTGCTTCTTATATAAATCAAGGGTCTGCTCTGAAGCTGAGCCTGGGCTCCCTCCCCTCGTTCTTTTACGGTGGTCCTGTGGGGTCACCTCTGGCCCAAACAGCCTATATTCTCTTGGCCCTCTCCTCCTAGGCTGGGCAGGGCTGGGCTGTGACTCACCCCCCAACCACACGGCTGCTCCTCATACCTCTGCAGACCTGACTCACTGCTCCCTCTCCCTGGCAGGAACCTGGCTGTCACCCTGCCACTCTCTCCCTCCCCTCTCTGAATGGCTTGGCTCTCCTGACTCAATTTCCACAGTTTTGATAACCTGGGTTCCTCTGAGCACCTGTCTTACCTTCTGAACTATGGAGGGGCCTGGGACTAGCAAATAAGTAGGGCTGCTGACACCTGCCTCTCTTCCCTGCCCTTAGCTTTGCTGGGCAATGATTATTTTTCAGAGTTGGGGGTTCTGTCACCTAAAATAAACTACTATTTCATAAGTGCCTATTGTGTTCTGGTAATTTGACATGTTATCCTGGTTAATTTATTCCTTGTAGCAACCCTTTTATGTAGGTCCTCTGCTATCCACATTTTACCAAGGAGAACATTGAGGTTCAGAGAGGTTAAATGACTTGTCCAAAGTCTCATGGCTGTGACTGGAGTATACCTTTACTGACTTCAGAATCATTTGCTATAGTTTTTCTTCATTGTCTCAATCCTGGCACAGTATCTCAGGTGCTGTAGACTTATAGAGGGAGAGGGAGAGGCAGCTGGGTATGAGGCAGCTTGAAGTGTGGCAAAGAACATCAGATGTAGAATCCAGAGAGTAGACCCTACATGACCTCAGGCAAGTCACTCTGGCTTTTGAGACCTTGAGTTTTTCATCTGAAAATGGGAAGTTTATTATATTCTTTGAAGTTACTTCTAGCTTGAGGATTCTAAGTCTCCTATCTCATATATCATCCATATCCATCTGCCAAACACATAGCTATAACCATGGGGAGTGGGCATCTTTTTCCTCCTGGGAGCAGGGAAGTGTGGGGAAACCAGGTCCAGACCCCTAGGCTGATGAGTATAGCCATAGCCCATGGTAAGTCCTAGCTGGATGTCTGGGTGAGTTTTTTTTTTCTTCCCCCTGTCTCTCTGAAGCCTGGAAAGAAGGGAGAACTCATTGTTGTTCCAGTTCCTTCTGGACAATTCTTTACTTTCCATCTCTCAAGCCCTTGTACACATTGAACCCCCCCCCCCCTTCTAGAGAGCTATAAACAGGACATTGGGAATAAATGAAAATGGACCATCGAGAGAAGTAGATGAGCTGTAAAGGGCACAGAGCAGGGTAAATATTTTGCTTGAAGTGAAAGAAGACTAACCAGAGACAATCTAGTTCTGCCCTGGGCTCGTGGTACCCTGAAGCTAATAGGTGCCACCTGAAGACATGAGCACTATTCTTATTTTAAGAATACCTCAACCTACCTCAACCTCCAAGTACCTTTTCCAAAAGCAATTTTTGTCTCTGACACTGTCTTCCTGCAAATGGGTCACTGAGTGCAGCATCAGGAAATGAGACTGATTAAAGCCAAAATAGAACCAAATGAGGGTGGTGGGCAGTGTGGTGGAGGTGAGGTTGGTAGGATTGCCCAATGAGCTGCAGTCACTTGATAGAAGCTCAGAGTGAGGTTCTTAGTTTGTGAAATGCCTTCCTTGGAACCCATCATCGCCTCTGCTTCCTTCTGAGGTTCCTGCTTTATGGCACTATGCCCAGTCTTCCTTCAGCCTTTGAGAAGCACTGAGCCATGGGGTCTTTTCAGACCTCTGATTGCAGGTGGGATCAAATGGAGCAAATTGCCTCCAAATGCTGTGCAGCTCTGATTCTGTCCCCCAAGGAGAGTCAAGAGTCTTACCAGAGTGCTTTTTTTTTTTTCTTTTTTTTCCCTGCAGTTGCTTTCTCCTCCAAGCCGCAAGCTCTGGCCACACCAAGCAAAGAGGAATATGGGAAAAGAAAGAAGAAGGGCAAAGGGCAAGGGAAGAAGAGAGACCCTTGTCTTCGAAAATACAAGGACTTCTGCATCCACGGAGAATGCAAATATGTGAAGGAGCTCCGGGCTCCGTCTTGCATGTAAGTGTCCTCTCCCTTGGGCTGACTCTCATCAGCATGCTCTTTGTCAGCCACATGGCTGTTCCTCGTTGTCACTGTTTCTTGAATTCATTAATCTACCCAGTTTCTTCACAGCCTCTCTGCGGAAGTTGGGAGGAGGAGAAATACTTTTAGTCAGCGGAAGGGCCCCCCCCCCCATCAAATGCAATTTCCTGTGGTATGGGTTTATGACGCTTTTGCATCCTTGGGGACATTTCCTGCTTGCCCAGAAATGTGCATGTAGCTAGGAAAGCTGGCATATGAAGGCAAGTCCTTCATTCTTGCCCCATGCCCTACTCTGGATGGAAGAAGGCATTAGAAAACATGGCAGAATGGGCTTCCTGTGTAAAGTGGAGCTCCTGTGGTTGTCTTTTTCAAACCCTGTAAGCATATACAAGGTGCTTTTGGACACATGCTGGGTAGGTGTGTGCATACTTGGGAATGTATGCACATTAATTAATAAGCAAATCTGGGTTGGTTCTAAAGCATGGCAGGACTGTACAAAGAACAATCATAATGGGAGCAGAGAAAACCCCTTCTCCCTTCTTCACCCTGGCGAGGGCTGGGGGTGAGGACATGGAGGGTATTGGCTTTTGGCCATGGGCTGAAAGGATACTTTCTTTATGCAGGATTAATAGGAGATGGAACCTGACCTAGCAGACATCAACCCCTACTTAGGCAGTATCACCCCTTCCCTGGGCAGGGGTGTGGGTGGAGGAGCTGTAGATTCCTGGCTGCTCTGCTAGACCAAGCCCAACAAGTGACTGCCTTGGCAGCCCCTCAGGGATGACGGCACTGCCATGCTTTCTGGCAGGCATAATGTTGCCACTGTGCCTGAGGCCAACACCCCACGTCAGGCTGCAAACATTCACTCTCTTCCTCTGGGCACAAGGTCCTCATGGAGAGACTAGGAGCCTTGTGGCCTGGGAGACTCTGGACAAGAACAGGAGATTACCGGATGCACATTGCCTCCTGATCTGTCAAGAAGCTGGCTGCCTGTGATTGGCACGGATCCCTTGGCTTTTTGAAGCTTCCTTGTCCCCTCTGATTGCACACAGCTGAGCTGCCTGGTATTGGACAGACAGACCCTTCGCTCCTCACCATGTCCTTGGTCATTTGTGTATCTTCTCCTATAACATCTTTGTTAAGACCTTGGTATTGAATGGGTTGTTTGGGAGTGGCATAGGGAGTCCCCATATTATCTCTTTCAGGGTCTTGGGACAGGGAGGAAATGTTTGTCTTAAATTTGTAAAACGGCATCATTAGCACTGGGTAGAGGCCATGATTCTAAGGGTAGTCAGGATGGATTGAGGTCAAGAATCTGTCTGGGCTGAATTAGTCCAGGGCATTAGTGGATGGATATGGGACTTCAGTGCTTGACAGCACTTTTGTAGGGCTCTTCTCCCAGAGTACGGGGCTCCGGATCATCTTATCCCAGAACACCTAGATAAGGGTGCCTAGAGCCAACTTCCCAGTGGCCCTAGGGGTAGCGATCATAGCTGTAAAAGTAGCTCCTCTCCTTTGCCCCAGAGCCTTACAGTTTCCATTTATTATGACTTGAACCCAACAGATAGGTCTTATGTACTTACTTGATGCCAGACTATGCTAGGTAGTAGTTGTTGTTGTTATGTGCCGTCGAGTCAGCCCTGACTCATAGCGTCCCCTCCTTGGGTTTCCAAGGCAGTATCACTACGGAAGTAGGATTGCCCAACCTTCCTTCCGAGGAGTGGCTGGTGGGTTTGAACCACCAGCCTTCTGGTTAAGTCAAGTGCCTTAGCCACTATGCTACCAGAGCTCCTTGCTAGGTAGCAGGGAGATGTAATTAGTCTCTTGGGATTCTCAAAAGCTCTTTGCTAGGCAGACATGGCTTGCTATCTCCACTTGAAAATTAAGGTAACTTGAACCAGAAATGGGAAGTGATTTCCTTGTGATCAATAGCTAAATAAGTGGATAGAAACAGGGCAGGAACTCAGATGCCTAACTCCCAGTCCAGCATGCTTTTTGTTACCCCAGGCTGCACTAAATGTTGGTCTGCCTAGGCAAGATTTTATAGACGGCAGCTGTGGTCCAAGAGATCTCTGAAGACTTTTACTAGCCTAACAGTATAATAATTTGATTTGAAGACTCTGCTTCTCTCTTCTCTGGCTGGGCAGAATTTTCAAGGGGCTAGATTCCTTCTCTGGTCTGGCTTATTCCTGCCTTCTGCTTCCAACCCTGGATTTTCAGGGCAGAAGGCAGCAAGAAGACACAGGCTTCTGGTATGGGGAGCAAGGTATCTAGGCATCTACATCTGGGGGCCCTTTGTGGATCCTTCCTGCTTCCAGACCCAGGAACCACTAGCCAGGCTGTGTCCAGGTTGGTGTGGTGAGCTTGAGGCTAGCCAGTTTCCTAAACCAGCCCTTTAGAGACATCACTGTCAGGAAAACCCTTCTGTGTCATTAGCCAAAATCACCCTCAGGGAACAATTCCTTAGGTTCCTGACTGGTGAAAACCTGGTGAAACCTTGTTTATTAGGTAATCCACCCCTGGTGACCAGAAATTGGCAGCAAAGTTATCCTGTGGCTGGAAGAAGTTTTGGGGTAGCTGGGCGGAGGAGGACTCAGAGCTGGAATAAGGGCCTGGGGGTTTCATTTTGCCTCACTGCCTAGCTGCACAGAGCCTCTTGGCAGAGAATCCTCTGGGAATGGCAAACCCCTTTCTTTTTGGCTCCATCTGGTTTCAGTAGCCCATTTCATAATACTCTAAAAAGGTAGGCATTCCTGTGTTTCACATGGAGAAACCAACATTTGGAAAGGTGAAGTGACTTGTCCAAGATGACCTGGCTAGAAATAGCAGCAGAACCAGTCTGGAATTCAAGTATTTTGAGTCCCCCTATCAAATAGTACCCCCTCCACCTCCTGGGGTAGGAGTGAGAAGCTCAGTTTGGAATATGTCTCTGGACCCTAGAGGGTTCTTGCTTCTGTTGTAATACAAGTTCTGAAATGGGTCACAGACATGGGTAAGAGGAACGTGTCCCAGTTTGATGGGCAGCTGGCTCTGGGCAAGACACATGATCTCACCCCCACCCTGGGATGCTTGGAATGTACTCATCCCTCCCCCCCCCCCAACTCCCTGGGGAAGCCAGGAGTTGTCTGCAAAGGGGAGGAGGGGTAGGTAATATTAGGATGTTTACATTATTATCCTTTTGACTCAGGGTGGGGGTGGGGGTAGAGGGATTATGTAACTGAATTGTGGGGCTCTGAGGCCAACCTTTATTTCTGTCATCTTAGTAACTACCTGTGGGGTTTGAATGATGGGCTGGAAGTGAAAAACAGACTCAACTTCTCCCCCTGAGAGCATAGTCTCTGAAGCCATCCAGGCTGTGGGGTTGAATCCTGGCTCTGCCACTCACTAGCTGTGTAGCCTAGGCAAGTTATGTAAAGAAGTAAAGCCTCAGTCTCATCTTTAAAATGAGAAAAGTAACTCCTTCATAGATATGATTTCAAGGGGAAATGAAATGATCCTTGTAAAGCAGTTAGCACAGAGTATGTGGTGCGTCGCAAGCCTTTAATGTTAGCTATTTATTATTGTTAATTTTTAATAATAATCAATAACGTTAATAATAATACAGTCAGAGAGCAGGGCCAGACATCCCCAGGAATCCATCAGATGAGTTTTTCCTTGAGGTAATCTACACTGTTCAGAGTGGAAAGAATCATGACCTTGGAATCTGTCAAAACTTGTTTCTGGTCTTGGCCCTGCTGCTTCCTAGTGAAACTTGGCAAATCACTGAATCTCTCTGACCCTTTCAGTCTGTGGAATAGGTCTGTAACCTGCCTACCAGGGTGTTATGAGGCCCAGTTGAGCTGGTAGAGATGGGTAACCAAAACCTACTGCCATCAAGTCGATTCTAACTCATAGCGACCATATAGAACAGAGTAGAACTGCCCCATAGAGTTTTCATGACTGTAAATCTTTATGGAAACAGACTGCCTCATCCTTCTCCTGCAGAGCCACTGGTGTGTTCCAACCACCGACCTTTTGGTTAGCAGCCAAATGCTTTAACCATGGCACCACTGGAACTTCTTTATAATATGGGTAAAAAAAACAAACAAAAAAACTCACTGTTGTTGAGTCGATTCTGACTCATAGCGACCTCCTTTGGGTTTCCAAGGTGGTAAATCTTTATGGAAGTAGATTGCCCAGTCTTCCTTCCACAGAGTGGCTGGTGGGTTTGAACTGTCAACCTTCTAGTTAGTAGTGAAATGCCTTAGGCACTATGCCACCAGAACTCCTTATAGATATATGGGTAGTGTCTTATAAACTGTAAACTGCTATGCACAGGTGATTTTACAGGCATGCTCCTGGCATCTTGTTCCATGTCCTGGCACGATAGAGTTATTGTTATGCCTGCCTGGGCCAATGGAGCAGATGCCTAGAGAGCCTGAACAAGGAACTATATGCCCTGTGCTGTGTGTGTCTTAGGCTAGGGTTGCAGAGATAGACTCTGACCTATGTTTATCCTGCACTGTAATGGTGCACAAAGCATCTAGGAGGAGCTGGGACTGGGAGAGGGGTAGGCAGAAAGGTAGGAAGAGGGACACAGTTCTCCTCAGCCATGCTTAGGCCAATGCCCAGATGCCTAGTCTCCACTGCTGCCAGGTCTGGACTAGTCTGCTCCTTAAGAGCTTTCTTGGTATCCACTTCAGCAGGAAGAAGGAATTCCTCACTCTGAGGCACCAGGTATATAATCTCCTTCCCAGGAAAAGCTCAGCTCAGAATAGAGGGCTACCAGTAATGTCAGATTACCCATTAATAAGCAAGGTAAGCACAGTCTTACCTGTGCCTACTTATGAATGTGTCATGAACAATTTCCAATTTTTTTTTTTACACATCAAAGATTCTGCTTCTAGGTATAGTTGGCATCTGTCTCTCTCCCAACCCCAGAGTACCTTCCTGCAGAATTGAAGTTTCTTTTCAAATTTATAATCCCTGATAGGCATGGCGTACCCAGGAAGCAAAGTAAGTCCAGGCTTACTTGTGCTTACTTAGTATTCTGCAGTGAACAATTTCATGTGGGTTTCATCTGTGGTGAAGCCTTGTTTATTGGGTAATCCACCCCTGGTTACCAGAAGCCAGTGACCTGAAGTCCCCAGGCAGACAATGCCACCTCACCTCTGGCTGGAGGTAGGCAGTTGTGGGGCTGTAAGTAGGCAACACACTGAGCTCAGAGTCAGACAAGCACACCCATGTTTCTGCTCTACCATGGAACTTTGGGAAAACAATTCTGCCTTTCTATAAAATGGGGCTTCTGGCTACATCAAAGGGTCTTCGAAGGGATCAGATAAAGGAAGGGATGTGAATGTACTTGTTCAACTGTAAGCACTTCCAAGTCTTCTTTAGAGCTTCAAGGAAATACTTTGCATTAGAATCATAGAGGCAGTTGCCATATGATTTATTTCCTGAGCAAGAAGAACCCCGCAGAGGGCTTGTTTCTGACATTCTTACACACTCTAACAAAGCAGCTGGGCAGGGAGATATTATCTTAGTTGGTTTGCTTGGTTTGTAGGGAATAAGGCCTGATATTCTAGTGCTCAAAGGCTAAAGGCTCCTACATCCAAGAGGAGCTGGGAGTTAAAGGAAGGGAACTTGAGAAAAATGACTCTTGGCAAAGGGACAGAGCCTATTAATAGGTTGGGCAGTGGTGGAGAGGACTGGACATCAGAACATTGATGGGAAGGCTGGTTTATTTCTGGATTAGGGTGTTGAGGAGCCTCACTATACAGACGGATACTGAATCCCCTCACTCAACCCACCAACTCTTATGCCTAACTCCTCTTAAGTGGCTTCAACAGATTGTCTTCACATACATGTAATAAATCAGTCACACATGGAACATATCTAACTGAAAGCTTCAAATTCTTCCTCACTTTTTCCCTGCCTGGAGCAGGACTCTCAGGCCAGAGAACCAGAGAGACTGGTAGAAGAGGAAGGCATAGCGGGAAGGAGAAAGGCCAGGGAGCATTCAGAGGGTATTTTAAAAACAAATCTCTTATCAAAGAAGAAAGATAGAGGAAGGCATAGATCATGGTCAGGGGTTGATAGGCTAGAAGTGTGAGGAATGGGATTTGGTTGGGCCACTGCCAAGAGAGAGAAGCCAAACTACTAATTCTAACTCCTTGTTCTGTCTTGAACCAGCTGCCAGCCAGGTTATCATGGAGAGAGGTGCCATGGGCTGAGCCTACCAGTGGAAAACCGCTTGTATTCGTATGATCATACAACCATCCTGGCCGTGGTGGCCGTGGTGCTGTCTTCTGTCTGTCTGCTCGTCATTGTGGGGCTACTCATGTTTAGGTGAGTGTTTGGGGCCCCTGCAGACTGTTTCTGCAAATTATTCCATTCTTCCTCCTCCTGGGTCTTCTGGCTAGTGATCACATGAATCCTCCACCTCCCCAAATCCTGGGCTAAGGATCTGACTGACTCCTGGGTGCAGGTTCTCCAAGATCTTGATTACTTTGTATGACATGAGTCCAGTGTCTAGAGCCCATGGCACAGCTTGCCAGGCCACAGCAGGTTCTACTTTTCACAGGAGTTCCTGCCTCAATAGCCTAGCAACAACCCATGGAGCCACCTACTTACACATTTCTCTCTTCTGGCTATGTTCTTTGATGACATTAGTATATAACTTGGTAGTTAAGGCATGAATAAGTGCTATTTGTATACCCTTCCAATTCTGAGTCATCTGGACTGTAGGCCATGCTTCTAATCCAGGTTATGTTTGAGGTCGAGGGTGACCCACCAAGTGGTCTATACCTGTTTCCAAGCACTGCAATTCAATTGCTGTGAGACTTGGAATGAATCATCTCATCTTTCTGAGGATTATGCTCTTTCAGTGATTGTAATCTCTGTCCATCTGCCTCAAGGAAGTGTGAGGATACAGTGAATGAAGAGAAAGCTCTTTATAAATTATAGCCTGCTGTCAGAAACAGGCATCCCTCTGGGAAGTTGGTCTTTGACCAGGAGTTTGTTGAGCTGTCAGATCCTCTGAGCCTTCCAACGAGTAGAGTGAACTACTGCGCCAGAGTTTTTAGGAATGACTTGCTCTGAGACCTGCATCCTGCGTCTCAGTTTCTCCTCTGTCATAGCAAACAGGTCTTGCTCACAAAACTTGTTTTCCTCAGGTACCACAGGAGAGGAGGTTATGATGTGGAAAATGAAGAGAAGGTGAAGTTGGGCATGACTAATTCTCACTGAGAGAGACCTGCACTGAAGGTAATGGTTCATCCTTTACCCCATGGCACCATCACCACCTTTCCTGGATCTGTTTCATGGAGTGCTGAATTCTTTTGACCTAAGGGTTGGGAAATGGGAGGCAGGCTGCTCTTTAGTCAGCAACACATTGCAGAGTTGTTTTTTTTAAAAATGTTATGAGTGCTTTAGGAGCTCTGGTAGCATAGTGCCTAAGGCACTTGTCTGCTAACCAGAAGGCTGGCGGTTCAAACCCATCAGCCACTCCTCAGAAGGAAGGTTGGGCAATCCTATTTCCGTAGTGATACTGCCTTGGAAACCCAAGGAGGGGTCGCTATGAGTCGGGGTCAACTCAACGGCAAATAACAACAACATGGGTGCTTTATCCCTACTTAGAGTAAAAGTTTCTAGAGAGATAATCAGGAGAGATGTCTGAGAAAACAGTTTCTCCCTCCCTTATCCCTTCTCCTTCTCTTCCACCCCAGGCGATCTTTCCACTTCATCTTTTAAAATGGGACCTGGGAGATTTGGGGCCTTAAATGCCTTCTTGTTGTGCTTTAGGAATCAGCTGGGGACTGCTACCTCTGAGAAGATACAACTTGATCACAGACTCTGCAGAGGGGAAGAACTTCATAACTAGTCATGAAGACTTCTTCATCCCCAGTTGCTATGTAGATTGGGCCTCCCGTAATTGCTTTGCCAAAATACCAGAGCCTTCAAGTGCCAAACACAAGATGTCTGATGGGATCTGGGTCAGAAGAAAGCAAAAGTGAGGGCCCTTCATGCCCTTCTGATTCCCCTCCACCAAACCCCACTTATCCCCCATACATTTGTTTAAACACTTATCTTCTGGATTAAAATGCCAGTTAAATTCCAAATGCTCCAGGATCTTTGACTGAACAAAAAAGAAAAAGAAGAAAGATGAAGAAGTAGAGATTTGTGGACTAGAAGAAAACAACAGAGATTGAGAAGCCATGTAGGCAAGTATCCTCCAAGGGATCTGCCATTTGGACCCTCCAGCGCTGGATTTGATGAGCTAACTGTGAAATATCATAAGCCCAAGAACTCTGAATTTTGGGACTTCTGCCCAGATGGAAAAATAACAACTATTTTTTTTTTATTTGTTTGTTTGTAAAATGCCTTTTAAATTATATATTTATTTTATTGTATGTATGTTAATTTATTTAGTTTTTAACAATCTAACAATAATATTTCAAGTGCCTAGACTGTTACTTTGGCAATTTCCTGGCCTTCCATCCCGCATCCCCCATCAAATGGCTCAATGCCACACTGCTCTGCCACAAATCTGAGTGGCTCTGTGATCCATCTGTAGTAATTATCTATATTTCTGAAGATCTTCCTTGATCAGAGTGCTGCAGGGGGAGTTATATACGGTCAGGATGTAGGAGTTAACTTTGTCGGATCCACTCTATGAGTTGGACTGCAGTCTTGCCTAGGCAATTTTGTCTACCGTGTGTGTTTTGAAAGCTGAAGGTGCTGATGTCAAGGTGTAACAGATATCGGTGTTTCCCCATATCCTTTTCCTCCCAAATCTCAGAAGAGGTTGGGCTCCCAGGCCTGCAGCTTTCCTGGCCCTTCCCCGCCATAGCCCTGGGCCAAAGAGTAGGAGCTCACTCTCCTTTATGTCAAAACATTTCTTTTACTCCTGCCATTCTTCTGGTGCTACTCCAAGCAGGGGTCCATACAGCAGAGGACAGCTAGGGAAGCTATCAGTAAAGAAAAAGGCTAAGGAGGAACAGGAGACATTGGAGCTGACTGTTCTTGTTAATTGATTACCTGCCAATTTCTACAGAGAAGGTTGGAGGTGGGGAAGGCTTTGGGTAAACCCACCCCGTCACCAAAACTATAAAGGTATGCTGTCTTGTTCCCCTCTGGAAGTTTCTGGTGCCATTTCTGAACTGTTACAACCTGTATTTCCAAACCTGGTTCATATTTATACTTTGCAATTCAAATAAAGATAACCCTTACTCCACAGATTTCTGTCTGCTTGTTTTAACTGGGGACTGGTTTAACATAGGTAATTTTTTAAGTCCTGAGTGGGTATTAGACTCTATGCTAAGCCTATTTATTTGCACTGTTTCAATATCCCCAACAACACTGTGATGGAAGTACTATTATTATCTCTATTCAGAGGAGGAAACCTAGGCTCAGTGGTTATATAACTTGCCTGAGTTACCACACACAGTTGGTAAATGACAGAGCTGGGACTCAGACCCTGATAGTCTGACTCCAATTATATTACTTCTGAGACATGAGAGAATAGAGTTTTCACATAGGAAGTTTGGCTGGCTGTAACTGGGAAAAACATCTGTTTAACCAACAGGGCCTGGATCAAGATCTGGTTCTGTGGTATATATGCAAGCAGGCATTGTTTCTGGCGAAAAATTGTCTTTGATTTCCCTCTCATGCTCCACAGCCAATCCATCAGCAAATCTTGTCAGCCCTACCTTAAGACCATGTCCTGTATGTAACCGCGTCTCATCACTGGTACTACCATCACTCCAGTCCAATTCACTGTCACCTCTTGTCTGGAATCTTGGTGATAGCCTCTGTCTCCCTTCTTCCACATTGCTCCCCTAGAGTCTTATTTCCAACATAATAGCCAGAGTGATCATTTAAAAACATCATTTAGATCTTCTCTCCAGGCCTTCCCCGATCACCCTATTATATAAACACAACATTCCTCCCCCATCTCAATCTTATTCTCTCCATCTTGTGCTATGGGTTGAATTGTGTTCCCCAAAAATATGTGTTATAAATCCTAATCTCTATGCCTGTGGTTGTAATCCTATTTAGGATTGGGTTGTCTTTGTTATGTTAATGAGAAGATTATATAAGGTGTGAGTCAATCTCTTTTGAGATATAAAAAGAGATTAAATCAATGAGTGGAGGAGAGATGGGCTAAGATAGGTGTCAAGACACATGGAGATCTCCAAGGAACCAGGAAGCAGAATCTGAAGAGACAAGGACCTTTCTCTAGAGCTGACAGAGAAAACCTTCCCTAGAACTGGTGCTCTGAATTCAGACTTCAAGCCTTCTGAACTGGAGAAAATAAATTTGTTTGTTAAAGCCAAGCATTTGTGGTATTTCTGCTATAGCAGTGTAGATAACTAAGATCGCTTCCTTTATTTTTCTCTATAACACTACCACAACTGTTGTGGTAGTTGTTGTTATTTGCCATCGAGTCAGACCCAAATCACAGCGACCCCTCCTTGGGTTTCCAAGGCAGTATCACTACGGAAGTAGATTGCCCCATCTTCCTTCCGAGGAGTGGCTGGTGGGTTTGAACCACCAACCTTCTGATTAGCAGTCAAGTGCCTTAGGCACTATGCTACCAGAGCTCCCACATTTTAGTAGGAAGTACTATAAAAAATAAATAAAATAATAAATATATATATACTACCACCACTAATATATTTATTTTTTATTGTAAAAAAATAATTTATTGTGATTGAGTTGTAGGCTCTCAATGTTTGTTACATGGACAAATGAATCAATATAAGAAACAAAATCCAATTAAAGTCCAGCAAGTGGACAGGCACATGCTTTAGTGCTGCTCTGGAAGCGTTTAGAAAATGCTTAGAGAATGGCTCTGTTAGGACAGTGGTTAGTGATGACAGAATGAAAGTGCAGTTTGGGGCAGGTTGGGTGGCTAGGGTGTTCTAGATGGATTGGAGGTGGAATGATCCATTGGCAAGCCATTGAACTAGTATGCCGGACTGACCCTTTGTTATCCTTTCCTCTTGAAGAATTGTGACATTCTGAAGTTTCTCTGAAAGCACACAGAGAGATTAGTATTTACTTTGAATTTTCTTTCAAAATGTTGGGCAGCAGAAACTACCAAGCTGAACATATGTAAATTCTACAAGTCAGCAAGAGATATACCCAAGAGAAATGAGTACACATGCTCACCAAAAGAGATGAACAAGAATGAGCTTAGCAGTAGTATTTATAACTAAAAGCTGGAAATTACCCAAATACCCATTAGTGGTAAAATGAATAAATAAATTGTGGTATATCCATATAACGAAATACTACATAGCAATATGGATGCATCTCACAGCCTAGCGCCAAATGAAAGAACCCAGACAGGAAAGGGTACATCCTGTATGATTCCGTTTATTTAAAATTAAAAAATAGGTAAAACTAATCTATGTGAAAGAAATCAGGGTAGAGATTCCTGTTGGGATGGAGCAGAAGGGGGACTTCAGGGGTTCTGATAGTGTTATGTTCCATGATCTGAGAGCTGCCCTCATGGGTGTATTCACTTTGTGAAAACTGTTCATCAAGTATGACGTGTGCAGGTATCTGTCTGTATCATATTTCAATTAAAAGTTAAAAAAAAAAACTTGGATAGAGGACTCTTTTGCCATTTGCATTACATAAAATTTTATTTGTAAGTACCAGTGTGTTATTTTGGTACCAGAGAAAATCATAAAATGTCAGAAATCACTATGGGGTGGCCAGTTACTTTGAATTGTCCGTGAGCTCCCTTTCCTGCTTCCAAGCTTTAAGCCTTCTGCCCTCACGCTGGGCTGGGCTTTTCCAAGAATACTTTGTTTCTCAAGCTAATGTTTCCTGCAGGTTTTGGGCTTCCTGCCTTTCAGCTGCTCTGTCCTGCCCTTGTGGCTGATGAGAGCTCCCTTTGGCATCTGTTGGCTGATGCAGTGTCCCTGGGAACCTCTGAACTTGCAGCCACTTCTCAAGATTGTTCAACAGTAGAAATCTTGCCTCTTCTCTGTGGACTTCCCTTTAAGCTTCTGTTGAGACATTTTAAAAAATACTGTTCATAACAATCATTATTAGAGTGATAAATATTTAATATTCATGGAGTGGTCACAATGCACAGGGCTTCATGCTTTATAGGCATTATCTCATTTAAGTCCCACCAAACCTAGGAGGTAGGTGCTTTTACTATACCCATATAATAAATAAGGAAATTGAGTCTCAGAGAAAGTAAATGATTTGTCTAATTTAAGTGATAA